CTGAATTAATGAATGCACGCGAACTCATTCTTGAAATCTACGAGCACATTTAGAGTAGAAGTAACTGGAATGTGACCAACAGGAAGACTACGCAGTGACTGCACACAAGAAGGCTAAGTAAGTGGAAAAGACAGCAGTGATAGGAAAAACTAGACAGCTGTTTGGACTTGTAAAGGAAACTGGGGTATTATGATAAGTGGTTAGTGAGACTAATGTGGAGATGAAAGGATCTACGATTCACTTTTAGGAGAGACAAATGGGACAATAGGCCGAAAACTTTAGCCTCTAACTGGCATTTCATTGCTGGCAATCCTATCGGATCCATCGCCAGAAGAAGCCGAGTGAGATGTGAGTACATCGAAATGAGAATGGGTCCCAGGATAAGGTGATGTAGCCAAAAAGATATTTGAGGATGTTGACAGAGGATTACTGGCAAGACTAACTGAAGTTCTAGCTAGTGTTTGAAAATCAAATATAAGGTACTTACTTGTCTCAACCACTGATTATCACAGTCTTCAATCACGGAGAGAAATCCTCCTATGATAATCTCTGGGCAATCACTGTGATCAACATAGTGTTACAAATGCCTAATTTCTAAGAAAACTAACTTATAATATGTTTATGTCATCATTGTGGAATTTAAACCGTATTTTTGCTACTCTTTTACCCAATGCTATCTTACTTATTTTTACCTCAGTTTAGGATACTAAGCGCCAATTGGCTCGTTTCACACTTTCAACATGCTATTTGTTCACTCTGACCAAGACCATATAAAGATATATAACGGACTGAGTTTTCAGGCATTATTATTAGGCTGAAGTAAATAAACTTCCAATCACATCATCTTCAGTGTCGGCTGAATATCAAGCTGGGAAGTCATTGTTCTGTCGCTAATCGTATTGTCTCGGAGCACTGTATCGTTATCTTTAGCGTGAATCATAACACATAGTGTCTTAGATCCTCTGTTTTAAAATTGGCAGACGTCACTCTGAAGCCTTGGAGTAGCAAAAGTGGAAAAAATAGTTTAAGACCTAGTCGACCAGGAATTCAATCTCGGCCGAATTTCGGAACACAGGTATACTTACAGACGCTCGACACTAAGTGTGTTTCTTGACTGAAAGGTAACGTTGGATTCTGTCAATCGAGACATCTCTTGACAGCGTCTGTTACTGCAAATGTATGCCGAGTAAGTACGTTGAAGGCTCTACATTCAAACACATTGGAGTGTCAAGCCTATGATGAGTTTTCAGATGAGTTGTGTGCATCGATTTATGTCCATCAAGACTGCTTACTCTCTCCATTGTTATTCACTTCTGTCGTAGACAACCCTATGGAGGCCTTCCTCCCGGCGCCTGACACTACAGGAATTTATCTAATTACAAATGGCTCGTTAGTAGGTCTAGAGTGCGCAGATGATATAGTCCTATTAGGTGAAGACGCCGACAAAATGCAGTTTTCTGAACACTTTAATTGACATTTCGCGAACGTCTGAGATGTGTTTCTCTCCAACCAAATGTAAGTTGTTGTTCCATAACTGGTCTTTAGTGGCGTCTCATTTGACAAACGTTGACAAATCAACGTACCTAGGAAGTCGTATCATTCCTTCTAGATCAAGTTCGCTTAGTTAACGCCGACCCACCCCACCTATGGAACTGCTGTGTTATTCGATTGCCTATTAAGAACCGGGAGTACTGTAATGAAGTTCATTCACTCCTACTACTTGTCTGTGAAACATAGCCATTAAAGGCAAGGGATATGTAAGGCTTCCAGGTGTTCGACCACATGTGCCTTCGTAGCGTAGATCGTGTGTCTTAGTGCCACCATATGAGTGACGTAAATGTATGACTTAGTGTTTTCAGCTGAAAAGGAAATTCGTTTCATGAGGTTGTGAACTTTCATCAGTTTAAGTGGCCAGGATGTGTGTTGTGCGTAATTGGGCACCATATCTTCCATCATAAATTGTGAGCTGAATTAAGTTAATACTGTGAATGGCATAGGGTTAGTTGGACGAAAACACAACGGTCACTTGAGATTTATCTAATTCCCTAGAATTTAATCACTTCTCATATATGTATCCACGCCACTGAGTTCGATTTAAGTACCTAAGCTACTAGGAGGGATATTTAACAGTTCAAGAGTTTTGGGTATTCTCGCATCTCACACAAATGATAATGCACATACATCTCAGGAAAACTACGATACCTATTTTAATGATTACTTTCTCTGAGCGCTGAAATGCACACTGAAACAGGGGGTTACAAGCGTTAATTCATTTTTGAGTGAGTTTCATGTATCGCATTTCATGAGGAATTACTTTTGAGCTTCTGAAGTATAGTTCAAGACACGTTCGGGTGGGTAACATGGTTATATCTTGACCGAAACACTACATTGGAAACAGTACACCTTTATTTCTGCCAGTTTTTGGCTACTTGTAGCATCATATTTAATTGTTTTTTGCAACGCAGTTATTTTTAGTTTCGATTCTCAGTCAGTAACTATTCAAAGGTTTCGCAACAAAGTTACACTATTCTAGACCAGCAGGACTACATTAATCCCAACTAAATCAGTTTTTGTTCATCGATCACTCTACTTTGTGGGAAATATACTTGCTGTTTTTTGTTATGGTAAATGATATCTCCTGATATGCAATACTTTATCGATAATTACGTTGATCCATTTATGCTTGTCTTTGCTAAACCGAGCTTAGTTGCGGCTAATATTCATAGCCGTGGGTAAGTTGGCATCTGATCAAACGTTTCAGTGTCATGCTAGATAAACATCATCATCAGCCCATCAGACCTTCACAGGTAAATGGAGTTTTCGACTGCGAATGGAAACTTATAAGTTGCCACCCTGCCTGAGTACAGTATGTCTGGTCGCTTGATGATTGCGCTTTTGTGCTTTCATGCTCTGAACCTGAGTCACTGACTTTTTGCCTCTAGTTTTCTCTAAAGGGTTTACAAAGATTGGATTGTTTTGATTCTCTTGTTTGCCCTCAGCACGCTGACGTCACTTCATTGTGACTTGTAAGTCCTTTTTGTTAAAATAAATTAATGTATTTCCCTTTAATACGATTTGTTGACGCCTCCGCCTAGCTCGATTGGCGACGATGAGCTTGATTTGGTTGGTGTACTCTTATGTATTGGAGGAGGTACTCTCCCGTGATTGGTCCCTTACCACTGCTGGCTATTCAGATCTTACTGAAGAGAGAGATTCCTTTTGCACTGATTGCTTAAGAAACAGATTGGTTATTTATTCGTGCATTATCCCTCTCTAAGTGATTACTGATCTCCTTTTTTGGTTTCTCCAATAGATCAGACCAATCAGATCATAGCATCATTCATCACTTCGCTATATCTTTATCTACAGATGTTGAAAGTAATACATGTGAAGAGGCTACATGATTTTAAACTAAAGTATATTAATATTATTACCTGAGTGTGCGGAAGCCAATATTTGACTAATGTCTAATTTAAGTGTAGGTTATAGGCAACATAATTAAGTCAGTAGATGAGTTCGCAAACCTGTACCGATTCACATGGCTTGGCTATCTGCTGCATATATCCTAACACCAACTATCTTGTCGCACAATGTTTTCTGAAGTGAAGAGTGACTAGATGGAGATGTGATACCAACCAGTAACCCGTCTGACTGTTGCTTTGAGTTGTGTGTAATGGTGTCTTGCTGTGGTCCTCAATATGATATGAATCAATGGTTGGAGACGTTTGGTAATATGGCTGAAAACCAGTTTAAATGGTGCAGACGTCTGCACTTTTTGTAGTCTTCGAATTTTCGAACCTTCTACTGATTTTCAATAATTACTTTTCTGTCAGCCCATTCGCTTACTTTGATATGATTCTCATTTTTTACTGTCCACTTTTTGTTCGCATTTTCATGCGAAATGAGGTAACTTGGATTGACGCAAACCTGAACCATGTTTTACATTGATTTTCCCTGTCTGTTTTGCATACATCTTGAGGCTCACATCAATCAGTTTCTGAAATAAGTTTACGATCACCTTACAAATGACCATACTACGCTTTAGCGAGAGAAATATACTAATTTTGAAACAACTTTATCTCAAATTAGAACCAGAATAGGCCACTTATAAACCAGGCATTCATTTGTTCAGGATAATATCTTACGCAAACTAGTTTGAATCACAGGCGATTTCAAAAGTCGGAAACCGAATGCATACCTTCTAAAGACAGTTGAAACTGAATAAAGCAAGTCTTTCTCTCTCCTTTTAAATCGAACACGAACCCTATGTAATTTGATTTATTAACATTTTTCCTACTCCCTTTTCCATGTTTTTAGTTGTAAATGTCTTTCTGAAAGAGCTGTTTCTAATTCTTCTGTTGAATTCATTTGTTCATATGTGAACTAGCTCTTAAACATTTTCTACTGTTGCTGCGATGCAGATCATTTGTGACGTCTATCAAGATAAACCAGGTAAAAAATAATACAGAAAGCATCAGAAACGTACCATGGTTTATTTATTTTACTTATTTTAACATTTTTCTGTTTAAATGAGCTAACTTTACGTCAACTCAATCTGTAGATTTTGTTCCTAGGTACGCCTTACCATTGTAACATCGAGGATCATAGCTCTTTCTTCTTCACAGAGGTTCATCAGAATTTCAGTCATTTATAACTAGGCTAAGTAAACTAAGTAATATCTTGAGTTAAGCAAAATACCTGCAAATTATTGTTCTTTCCGACGTTCACAATGTGAACTTTATTTAGCGGGTAGGATACAACGATAAGAAAAATGACTTTTGTCAAGGTTTTAACACATTTCTGAAGGATTTTGAATTATTCTTGATCTGATGAACTTTCCTCCCAAAGAAGATGTAGGGTTGTCTCTTACTTTGGTGTAATTTTATAAACTTCTCACTATATAGTAAATACTACAATGAATTCCTTATTGATATATGGTGTTCAGTTATACAAATGTTTCTTTCTGTGTGTTTTGTACATGGGTGCATATCATCAATAAGTCGACTAACAAGTCATCTAACAAATGAGTCTGGTTATGCAGTCATTGAAATTTCAATCGTTGTTTGAAGATTCGATCTAAGTAACAATGGTCAAAAAAGAATGCGAGGTTAATATAATTCTAGTATAAATACATGAGAAACTAAAATAACTAGTTTGATATTCAATCTTGGAGAGACATAAAGTAAGTATTTCATTAGCTTTTAATGTTTCACAAGTCAATAAATGATTACTGTTTACAAATTAGCCGCTCGTCATTATAGCCTGTTAGTAGTTAAAGGTTCATATCAACTGTATTCAGAATTATATCATCTTTGGTATTTTTGATAACCATTGGAAAGTCGTTTTAATATTTCCAACCTCAAATTAACTACACTTACCAAAAAAGGATTTTCAACAGTGTTTCCTCAAACTTAACCAAAGCTTTTGTCATGGTTCTTTTCAAATAAGTATGTAACTGAATTAAAACTTAGAAGATTTTGCATAAGTCTTCATCCTTAAAAGTTATTTGTTTCCTACTAAAATTATATTATATTAGGTCCCTTTATAACATCTTAAATTACGAACATCAAGAGAAAGTGAAGAAATTCTAGATAAACTTTCACAAACTTTTGATAAGTGCATTCGCTATGGGCAATATAGAACTACAACATTAGTCCCATTTTAGTCATATAATCTCATAAGTCTTTATTGATGACCTACATATAATTTAAGTTTAGTTTATGTATAACTATACCTGTCATTATTTTTAGTTATGTTTCCAGGTATGATTCGCTGTGCTTCCATGTATTACATCTAATAATTTTCAAACGAACCGTACAAATATCATTTATTGCCTAATCTATTATATGAATCCAAGCTTTGTCTTTCTGAAAGATAAGACTACAGACAACTGTCAGAATTTCAATCCATGAACCCATCAACAAACTTAAATGATGAAAATAAAGCTGATATTCAACATTCTAAATATCAGGAATTATGCATAAAACGTTCAGATTATCTAAAGCTTATTGAAAAAAATATTACTGAAGAAGATAGGATGCCATACAATAAAGCATTAATAAATTGTTCCTACTTAGACATTAACTCTCTACAAAGAATTTCAACAAATGACAAAAATCTTCAAAATTCATTACCAGAAGAATTTATAATATGCCTTAAAGTTTTCAAAGTATATTATTAAATTATTTTTGTGAAAATTCTCTGCATACTATCATTAATAATGCTAACACTGCTATCACCAAAGAATTAATCTATGAGATTAGTGAAAATTTATTGGACAACTGTTATCCAATGTGCAAATTTTTAGGACTATATAAATTTCCTTTTTCTATTTTCAATAATGGTTGCTTGATAAATATTCTACATAACAGTAAAATATATCTTTGGCTTGATCATTGGCTTTTTCAGGTAAGTGTAAATAAAATAACTCATAGTAATAATTGTTGTATTGAGTGAGCACTTTTTATTTAAACAGATGTTCAAATTTATTTTTGATCACTGTCGCTATTCGGCTTATTACCATTTCAGCTTTCTGTAGCATAGCTGACTTTATTGTTCATTATTCCGTTCAAATAGTGCGTGAAATGAGCAGTTTTGAGTGTAGTTTATATTAATCTTTCCATTTATTATAACATTTCCAGTCTATAGTACCACATTAAGCTCACATGAAAACATGCTGGATACCGACAGTGCCTTGATTCATAATTATCCCGATCTGGTCTTTGAAATATAACATTATGCGTTGTTTTTATTACCCAATCATGTATATCTTAAATGGTACTAAAATCAAGCAGTCGATGAATGGCGTTTTAGAGAACAAACATGCTTAAGCAGTTACAATGACTGAGCAGTGTTGGTAATGATGTAGCCCGTGGTATCGAGTACATGTTAAAAAAACATCTAGAATGATATCTGGAATTCTGTTTCTCTGCCAGTGGAAATGTCCTGCAAGCCAGTGTTATTCAGGACAGAGCTTTCTGTAACATTCGAGTAACTGAAAATCATTAAATTACAGTGAAGATGATGGCTGAAATGCCACTGAAATCTGTACCCCAAAGTATGCTACATAAGAGGATATGTCTGTCAATGAACTTGTCTCTTGAGCTACATATGTCTAACATCACTAAAAAACCTGTTTCTTATTTACATCTATTCAGTGTATTTATGACTACACTTTCGTTGCCAGCTCCCAATGACATTTTAAAATAGGGGTTCAGAAAATTAAAGTTTATCTCACTATCACTTTATAGTAATTTTTTACATTGATAATGAGTTGATTCGCTGCAGAGACATATGGACACTTAAAACAATATGCTACAGAAATAACTTGCCTTGAAATACACTAATTAACGCGTTATGATTGTGAAGAATATCTCTGTTTTCGTAAGCATAGTGTTGAAACCCTAACTTTCGTCAATAACCAAATGTGTATAAATGCCCAGAAATTTGCACAAAATTGTTTTTTCTTCTACACACATTTTAGTTGCCTTCCAGCACTTTGACTATTTTGACCCATAAATTTCTGTATGAAAGAAATATTGCATATGGAAAAGTTTTTATTCTTGTTGGCAGCATTGAAGCATATTTCAGTTCTGCCATCTGAGATAGCCGCGGTTTGGCAGGTTTGTATTGATAGTGGATAGTTTTCATATTTCATTTGTTAAAATTCCATTTGTGTTGAAAAACTTAAAGATTATCAGTGGAAATCCTAATATGCTAATTTGCTTCTTGTCAGATGAGTTCTGTCTGGATTTTAATTGACTGGAAGCAGTTAGAAGAAAACCCTGGACGTAGGTTCCGAGCTTGTTGGCACTCGTCAGCAAGGCGTATCTGGAACATTGAGGGAATTGATGTCTCTTCCGAAATTCGAACCCGCATCACCTGGTGTTGTAATCAGCTACTTTGCTACTGAGCTATTTGGCTTGCGACTGACCTCCTGTAGAACTGGGTTAGTTACATTGATTGGTCACTGGGGGGCAACCGATTTTATATTGTGTAGTTCTGAGTGCTGATCGGATTCTACAATGTGACCACCCATTCTTGTATTTAAGGTTCGACAGTGTGTACCCTAAACTGCTTAAAGCTGCTAACACAGACAAACTTTACTTCTATAGGCTGCACATCCTTTGTGTCTTAATGAGGATAAATATCATGCCTATTTCTCACCATTATGTTGTTGCACAGTATTTCTCCCCGCAGAAGTGGGAAAGCTGAATAATCTATTAACAAATAATCTTCGAATTCACAGATCTGTATGTTACCTGAGTATTGGTACTATCTAACTACAAAATTTTTAGAATCTACTCAGAATTTAGGAATTATTTTATGCATACATATCTCCATGTGACTACTCTACTCAACTAAATCTATGACTAACTAAAGTGTAATTATGATGCACCTGTCAATATTCTAGGCTTTGTTTTTATTTTTTCCTTCCAGTTAAATTTACCATTTGATATAAGAGCGAACAATCCTATATACCATCGGGATTCATCACGTGAATATAATTTAAACGATGAAAACGATAGTCAACTTTTACTGAATTTAGAACCGGCCGTTTACTTCTTTGAAAGCATTTTATTTCTCAGAAATTACCAGTCGGATAAATCAAGTTATTTTGTTGGCTTAAGTATATCCAATGAAGCATCTGAAGAGCATCCTCGAAAACAAATTGAAATACTAGTCTATGAATATAAATTTTCTCAACAAAATGCATCTCAAAATCCTCCGGCTATTTTTAGAGAACTATATACGAAATATTCACTTAGTGTCTTATGTTTTAATGATGCTTACATACAAGGTCCTATCCTTCCGGTGTATACGTTCGAAATTTCTCCCGACAGTCGTTTATATCTGATTGCTCAGTGGTCGGAAAATGTGAGTTGTGCTTTATTGATGATGTCATACTGTGAATAATTAATTAACTTATACACTTATAGTGATTTTGAAAATAGATCATAATTCTTACTCAGACTTCAAAAAGAGCATATTTATCATGCTGTTTTCGTTTGAGGGAGAGATCGTTTTATTTTTAAACACTTCTCTTTTCTTGGTATGTATATTACCATTTCGCCGACAACACGGGAAGAGAAGTGACCATGGGTCTAGAAGCGCTAGATGAAATGAATGAGAATGGAGAATTGTTTGCAGAATTCTGTGCATTCAACGATTTGGTGATTGGAGGCAGTGTGTTCAAGCACAAGGATATCCACAAAGCGATATGGATTCGATTTCACCAGATGGACATACTAAAAATCAGATAGACTTCATCTCAATGTGAAGAAAATGGAGACATAGCCTACTTGACACAAGGTGAAGAAGAGGAGCAGATGCAGGTTCAGACCACTATCTACTGCCTTCAAGGAAGCTGGTGATAGACCATAGTTCAAGTTCAACACCCAGAACAGAGACTGAAGGACGAAAATACAAAGGACATCTTCACGGCAGCCATCAAGACAAAATGGGAGATTTCGAGCAATATCCCTGAAGAAAGCTGCATGAGAACTCTTGAAGAGAGATGTGGGAAGAGACCTGCATAACCGTGTTAGAGGAGAAGAGGAAAGAAGACAAGGAATAGATCTGGATGCAAACATGTAAGCTGATAGAGGCGGGAGAGGGAGGTGGTGACGGTGAAGCAGAAGATGAACCAGTGAAGGGATGCAAAACAAAAAGAGGAACAGAGTGCAACCTATGAAACACTACACTGGACAAAGAAGTGAAGAGGAGTACTTGGAAAGACAAAAGACACTTCTACGACACACTGGCAAGTGAAGCAGAACAGGCTGCAGGTAGGGAGAGCATAGATTTGACAACATAGTTTTCAAATAACCAGGTTACCATCTGGAAGGGAAAAGATCAACACACGTGAAACCAACAAAAGATGATGTAAGAAATCTAATTACCAAAAAAGAGAAACAAAGGAAACGATGGGCTGACCGCTTCAAAAAGCTCTTGAATCGACCACCACCAGCACTTCATCCAGAAATATCACCTACAGCTCAGCCACAGAACTACAAGTGAACACAAACCGTCCGACAAAAGAAGAAGTCCTTAATGCCATAAAGTTACTGAAATTCAGGAAGTCAGCAGGACCATATGGAATTCCACCAGAAGCGCTGAGAGCAGACACAAAGATAACATCGGACACGCTCACACCACTATTGCGGAAGGTCTGGAAGGAAAGGAAGGTGCCTACAGATTGTAAAAAGGGCTATCTTGTCAAACTCCCGAAGAAGGGTGACCTTTGTCTTTGCAAGAACTGGCGAGGATTCACTCTCCTGTCCACCCAGAGCAAGCAAAATATTAGGCCGCATCATCCTGGAGAGACTACAGGATGCGCTGGATTCAAAACTACGACCGGAAAAGACTGGCTGGATTCAGGAGGTACAAATCATGTGCGGACCAAATTGCAAGGCTGTGCTACTCATCATCATAGAAGAGAGCATAGAATGGCAGTCAACTCTCTACCTCAACCTCATCGCCTTTGAAAAGGCTTTTGACAGCATCGACCGAGAAGCAATTTGGCAGTTGCTTCAACACTACGGAATACCACTAACCTTTATCATTCTCACTCAACAACTATATGAAGATGCCACATGCCAAGTAATTCACAATGGGAAGCTCAGTGATGCCTTTGAAGTGAAGACAGGAGTGAAACAAGGTTGCTGTCTACTATCCCCCATGATATTCCTGATTGTGGTCAACTGGACTGGATCATGCAGCAAACAATGGGGAGCGAGAAGAGGCGAATACGCTGTCTGGACTGCGGAAAAGAACCTAGAAGGTCTGGATTTTGCCGACGACTTTTGCCTGATGTCACACAAACTTGAAGATCTACAGGCAAAAACCAACAAGTTGACAGAAGAGGCAGAACAGCGAAAGAAGACGGGACTTCAAGTGAATATAGAGAAGACAGAGGTGATGAAGATACCGCACCAACAACTCCAACAACAACAACAAACTCCAATCACCGTCAACGGGAGAAACTTGAAGGAAGTAACCTCCTTCACTTATCTAGGAAGCACTGTCTCAACTACAAGTGAGACAGACGAGGATGCCAAATTCAGAATCGGAAAAGCAAGACAGGCGTTCATTAACCTGAAACCAGTGTGGAGATCTTCTGCACTCAGCATAAAGCGTGAACTAGATCCGAGTTTTCAACACTAATGTCAAGTCAGTGCTTCTGTATGGTTCAGAGACTTGGCGCGTTACGAAAGGGATTTCCAACAAACTACAGACATTCATCAACAACTGCTTACGCTGGCTCGATACTGAAGATCAGATGGCCAGAATAATAAGAATAAGCAACAAGGAACTCTGGAAATGAACCAACCAAGAAGCTATCGCTGAACAAATATGCACTGGAAGGAAGTGGAGATGGATTGGGCATGCACTGAGAAGGCCATCCGAGGACATCACGTGCCAGGCCCTCGAGTGGAACCCAGATGGAAAGCGACGAGTTGGGCGTGTGAGGTTAGAGTGACATGGAGGAGATGGTGTGAGGAAGAAATGAGAGCTTGTGGACTGTCGTGGAGGCAGGTTCAAAAAATTACAGAAAACAGAGTTCACTTGAGACGTGCTACTGAATCCTTATGTTCCATAAGAAACCCAAGGGACAAATAAATAATAATAATATATTACTATTTCAACCGCTGAGTCCTGCCAAACATCCAGTTTTAGTTCAACAAACGTTTTCCACATATTAGTAATTTATGTAACAAATGCAGAACTATTTTCACCGATGGTGGAATATTTAAACTAAATGGTACGAGTCTGTGTAGCTTATTACTAAAGAAGTCATTGCAAACTGCGAATCAGATAATCTTTCAAAGTCCTCGTAACATGTTTGCCTGGAGACAGTTGTTTTTAACTCTACATAAAATTCCTTGACTTCTGAGACCGAACTAGTAATGTGTGAAGTCATTAAAAATGAAGAACTAAGTCACCGTAACCAATTTAGATATGATGTTAGGCAAAGCATACAATACTTAATATGAGCTTCGTGGGACCTATTCTAAGAGTTATGTGTACGTAATGACTGTGTTAGGATAAGATTGGTAGTAAGTACTTCGTACTTTTCAGCTTCTACTTTTAGACTCATAAGGAGCTCATAATCATCAGATTTTAGAATGCAAATGTGGATGATAAGTAGAAAGACTATGCATATTCGAAGAAGTACGAAATCCATTTGACATTTCAAGAGATAAAGTCAACATCTTTTTTGAACTGTAGCATTTGAAACTCACTCAACTTATATGCACTCTTAATAACCTGAAACCGTTTTATTTCCGTCATACACCATCATTCCCTATCGTTAAAAAGGACTGAACAGATCTAGAATAGTTTCCTTCAGCTTACAATATTTATCTCACTTTACCGTTATGTTCAAAATAAGTAACATCAGAGAAAAAATTCAAATCTTAAAGTCGAAACTTACCCGTAAATCAGATTACAATCATTGTTATATAGCAAAGGTGATTCAGACTTTCAACGCCTTCAATATTACTTCTCTCCTAAAGATGCATCGACATAGATATTACACTGTATACTAACCAGTGTACTTTGATTTAGAGTAGAATCAGTTGTTTGTTAGTCGAAAGGGTGGAAGCGAGAATATGTCCAAAAAAATAATGATAAGTTTACTTTCAGGTGGTAAAAACCCCCATTAATCTGTTAAATAATGATGGCATAGCTGATATGACCAGATAATCTGCATGATTAGTGTTTATTATTCATCTCACTTAGTAGTGTTAATTATAACTGTGTAACAGTAATTTATATGTCGCCCGTCTGTTTCAATAGCTTAGAATATCTTTTTCTAAGGATTGGTTCAAGGACTCAATCTTTTCTGCACAAATTTGATTTGTTTAGGTACTAGACATAAGCCACTTTATTGTGTAAGGGCCTCTGATGGTATACATTAACCTTCACAGAAGTAGATGAAACATAGTTAAAAGTCAAGTGCTTTAGCCAATGAGCCTCTTCACAGTTTATTTAGTTGGTTTTCAAATAGACAGTTGTTTTACTCATATCTTTTACTGAGCACTTTATTTAAAAATCTTTTTCTAACATTTTGTTTAGCTTATATATAGTTATCCCACAGATATTCCCATTACAACAAACAAAATGGAACCTTATTTACTCTGTCTGAACATCAACAATTCATCAGTCAATTATTCAACCACTTCAGTACCTAGTCTCTTATGGTATAGCAAATTACCAGAATGGATTGAATACACCGTAAACTGTACATGTTTAAGTATTGATAATTCTATTGTTAATATATTCCTTCCATATAATTCTGACCTAAATTCCATTCATCATTTTAAGATTCATAAGAAGGATGACAAAACATCCCAAATATTGAACAAACTACAATCATTTCACAATCCATTTTCAAATGAATCAAGAGTAAACTGGATTAAATTTGTTCGAACAAGTAATATAAATCTTTTGATGTTATGTAAGTTTTCAGATATTTTGGAATAATTTCAAAAACTACTTTTAGTCATATTACCTACAATGAGAAAATACTTTTAAACTACTGAGTTACCTCAGAAACCCGTAAACTAAGTAATAGTCTAATGTTCATTCGTATTTTCTCAAAGAACTAATAAAAACCCTAGATGCATAGAAACAACTAAGTCAGATATAATGAGAAATAGTCATTGAATATATATATATATATATATATATATATATATATATATAAGCTTGCAACGAAAGCTGGAAACATTAGCCTTACTGCGTGATAACAAGATTGCTGTGACATACGACGATCGTGATTTCAACTCTGTATGTTGACATGAGTGCACGTTTCTGAGGAGCCCAAAACCAAATCGAAGGAGCTGGAGAGTGTTTCTGGGTTTCTATAAAGAGTTTCATTCGTTTTATAGATGGCTTTGACCTCTGACTAAAACAAGCTTGTGATTGATAATGGTTAAAGTTATGATCTAGAGAACACTTCGGAGTTCTAATAAATTCCTAAAATATGATGCTCATCAATGATATTCGGTGAAAAAGTTATATAGCGAATTGAGTGAAGTAGAAAATTTATACTAGTAGGTCGAATGAAAACGTACATTTTTAAGGTGTTGACAATTGCAAGCTTTTAATCTACGACGAAATAAATGCCTAGCAACCCTAGCTAATCAATTAATCTTCGTATGGTGTGACAAAAACATTTCTCATTACTGTCTCTGATTCACTTAGTGAGGATTTTCCTCTCTCTAAAACAACTTTTGTGTTTTGAATATATGAATTTACCAGCATATTTTATTTCGGTAGGGATTTATTGACTGATAAGTTGCGTCATTAACTGAGCTGTGCTAAGTTACATCGTAGTTAATCTTTTTATTGAATACTGATCATCATTAGGTTATGAATCAATGATATCCGCTCAAAAAAACTTAAAATTATCACATAATTATATGATGTTTGGTTCTGAAATATTATTCTACCTCAGTTTCGTGACCATGTAGATTTTGACTCAATTGCCACTTTTAATCCATTGAATTTTTTCCGGAGGAAATCGATACATTAATTAAGTTTCCATTATGACGTAATTTTTTGTAGAGAATGAAGGAGATTGTACAGTAGTATATATATGAATAAAATTAGTGTAGCTCAAATCAGCTCAACATACATAATTTTTAATGACAGTTCATTAATATGAAGAAGGTAGTCTTAGATGAGTTTGTGTCCTGCCACGCTGCAGATTTCCATTTCACCTTCAATCACCACTCATTATCATAGGATTCATAAAGTGAATCTTAATGAATCACTACTGGTAAATATCAGAAAATTCATAGGAGTTATGAGCTTTAAACTGGTTTCTTACATTATTCCCATGGACGTAAAGAATGATATTTTTGACAGAGGCTAACATAAACTCCAGTGATCACTTCATAAGACATTCAAGTATAAATGTGAACAATAATTTCAGTGCACAAAGTGCTTGCAAACTTTAATCTGTTTGTGGTCTTGGAGAAGAGTTACACAGATAATGATGCGTTTTGACATTATTCTGAACATTTTCTGAAAATGATGAATTTTATGAGCGTTGCCTTTGAAGACGGCTTTATTCATTTCAGTCTGACTACATAATTACATAGTATTTGGTTGGCCTTTACGGGTATGAACGATGAAGTAGTTATTTCCGTCAGAATATTTATCTTAAAACAAAATATAATTAGTGAGGTATCACATCAATAAAAACCGATGAAAGCTTTTTAAGACAGATGATAATCTTCGAATAGGTCTTAAAAGTCTGACTGAATACAGGGAGAGAGGTTTCTCTGGAATAGCACAAATTCGCGATGTACCTGGACATAAAAATGAGATCCCTTAACCAGTAGAAGCTAGTACCCTCTTTAAATTCAGAAATGTTTTGTTGTATAACATTTGTGATTATCTCTCTGTTTGAGGTCAAAGCAGAAAATTAGGACCTTGCTAGTACACCTGCGACCTTAGCTAGAATCCAACTGTCTTCCTTTCACCTTACATAGCCTTAATGCTGAATGGTTACTGATCACATGGTTTAAGAAACTGTTACGGTCAGGTGGGTACACATACTTTCTATAGACTGTCTTACGAAATGGAATGGCCACTGACCAACACCAGTTTATATAGGCCAACTTTAATTTCTGTATTCCAGCTAATACCCCAGTCGGTTTAGCAAGTGGTTTGGAAAGAATTCCTCCTAAAAATTTTAGGTTCCGTATACGTACCCATTTTCTCATTTTAGTCTGCTTTAAATAAATTACACTTACTGTACCATCCTCATAGTGTTTACTTATATTAACACATTTTAAAGCAATTTTGTGCCCATTAAAAAGGAACTACTGATTTCTATACATCTGATCATTAATTATAGTACTCTCAAGGTTACCCATGTGTTAAAATTATACAACTGTTTCATCACAAAGCATTATTACGTTTGCGACTGAAAATCTAGTGTAAAACGTCGGATCTAAAAGATTATACTAATTCTGTCCATACCACTGGTTATCAAATAGCAGCAGGCTAATAAATAAGAGACAGAAATTTCATGGGCAACTGAGCGTTACTAAAGTGAAACCCCAAATCTTAAAAAGTCCTTCAATGTAAAAAAATATCTTCCTGTATACGTCATATTTGATTTCAAACACATCAATGTACATCAGATGTCTTATACAAACCACATCACTTTTAATTTTAGCTTTGAGTTACTTTCAATTATTTCAGTAGTTCAAATCAATGTGTATATAAAACATAGTTATTGACAATAAACTTTAAGTTGGTTTGTTTCTTCTGCTCTTATTTCAGTTCAGAATCTTAGTAATGGTGGCCTAAGACTAATTCTATACAATACTCAACCGGGGGGTATTGAAGGTAGTGAAAATACACCGCCAGTTTATGCCTTTACAATGAGATTTCCGGAATACTCATCTAACGTATTAAACAATATTTTAGTTGATTTTTATGGACGATGGTTTCTTTGCATTGATGAAAATTCATATGGATTTCTTTATTCTTTTGAAATTGATTGGCTTAAAGACACTCATGCTGCTTGCTCAAATCACTCATCCGAGGAATGTTCATTCATTAATTCAATATTGAACTTCCTTGTTGATTTATTTTCGTCGACATTAAAAAAAACTAAACTCAGTATACTTAATAAAAGTATTCAAAGTCTATTTTCTAATCAGAAACCTTCCATGAAAAATATTGGTACGAACGTTACCGAGGAGAGTTTACATCAGAAAACACTCCCAATCAGTCACCATACAGTATTATTAACATTATATGATCACTGGCTAAGTATGGAACAAAAAGCTATGCAAAACAACCGTTTTTGTATCACACGACGAGAGTTGTATAAACGAATTGCGTTTACTTTAGGTAAATGGATAAGACTGTATGAAAATCCTGAGTTACAAATATCTGGCACTTCTGTATGTGGATCAGATTCAGGTTATGCTGCTAGTGAGTCTATTGCAACAGATGTAAACAATGATGCTTCCAGTTTGGCACATTCTAATGATATTGATTTGTTGGATGTATCAACAAAAGGTCTACTTGAAGTGAGTGTTTTTTTTCATTTATACTCGTGTTGTGACCTAATTAACTTTTCAGACTGACAGTATCATCTCACATGATTCATTAATAAAAGTTTAAATAATGACAGTTCTTAGGCATTTACAATTACCAGTCCTAGTGGTAAGTGACTTCATACAGTCAGATAGTTTACCGTCATTCTTAATAAATTTATGTTTGCATTATATTTTAAAGTTTTTGAGTATCATCTTTAGTTCTGAGTTAAATATCACTGAAAGGGAGATAAGTGTCTCGTTCAAGTTTCGATTGCTTTAGTGATATACACACAGTTGACAACATACTTAGTCAAGTCAGAACGTCCAGATGAGATCTGATTGTAGTTCAATATATGTAACATAAAATTTAGTCATATCAGTCGGAGTAAAGTATTTCTCGGTTTCATAATAAAGTTTAGCTGTTAACTTCACAAAAGTGGATTGTTTCTTACCATGTGTAGGAAAGTAAACTCATTATTTTATCGCAAAATCGTTTTCTAAGCAAATAATACTTTGGAAATACTACTATATGAAATTTACTAAATTTTACACACCAGACTGTATATCGCCTTATTATTTTAGAATTTTATGTGCCTCTGAAAAAATTGGTGTATGAATAAAAAAAAACCTTTTGCTTAAGTATCCCCATTTCAAAGTGTACCATTTCTCCCATTCCTTTTGTTACTTCGGTTCGCATAGCTGGCGCACTGCAATAAAGAAAAGTGAAATAATCAAACAACACATTGTGACTATTTGAATTGATTTGTCTCAAAGAACAGAAATACGTTAACAGATCATTAGATAGCAAAACGAATTTGGCATATAATTTCATTAATTTTAATTTCAACCATTCTTCCTGCTATCCAGATCACCTTTTAGAAGAGCAATACACCCCCTAGAGTGTCTTCATGAAAAATGTTTGCTTAAACAACAAAAGTGTGTCTCAGTTTCTATACCAGATATTTTAGTCTTTTAATCTAACTTGGTGTGCTCATAAAAATAAATTGCAGTCAGAGTACCTGCTAGCAAACAGTATAATGCAATTGTTTATCATGTGTATTAAACTAATATATATGGATCAACACTTCATCATAGTGTTGAAATTTCACACTGAAATGTTGTAAGTATCTTAAGATTTAATTCAATGGATGCATGCAATGAATCGTACTCCTGAATGTTTAAGAGTTTCTGTAGGCTAATTTAGCTTACTAGGCTAATTATAAATTCATCAATGTACCAGTGTGTGTTAGGTAAGATGTTGTGCAGATGGGAGATATCTTTTGAAACCTTTTACCGATAAGAAGATGCCGAGCAACCTTATGGATAAACGATCAAACCATTGAGAAGAAATATGTCGCGTTCAGGACCTTTTTCAATGAGATTAGTACCAATAAACATTTCTAGCAGGAAGTGTCTATGCATCTAATGGAGATCTTAGTAGACAAATTATTAACTTTTGGTTATTATCATTTGCTTTATACTGAACATTTGCTAGCTAGAAAGAAGAAAATGGCTAACATTTCTATTCAGGTCTCCTTCCTATTTGTTAAGTCTTAATACTCAAGATGAAAAGTCATTGCAGATAAAGTGGTATTCAACATGAAATTAAATCCGTTCTTTTATGTTGAATCTGAAGACGTTATACATCAAATGGTGAATGCATTGTATAGACGTTTGCTCGATCTTCATCCACGGATGTAAAATATGATCATGGAAATTAATGAGTATGAGGAGCCCGCAGGAGTTTGACCTAAAGTGTCGTAATATTATTACCTGAGTGTGCGGGAGCCAATATTTGACTAATGTCTAGTTTAGGCGTAGGTTATAGGCAACATAATTAAGTCAGTAGATGAGTTCGCGAGCCTGTACCGATTCACATGGCTTGGCTATCTGCTGCATATATCCTAACACCAACTATCTTGTCGCACAATGTTTTCTGAAGTGAAGAGTGACCAGATGGAAATGTGATACCAACCAGTAATCCGTCTGAGTGTTGCTTTGAGTTGTGTGTAACAGTGTCTTGCTGTGGTCCTCAATATGATATGAATCAATGGTTGGAGACGTTTGGTAATATGGCTGAAAATCAGTTTAAATGGTACTGACTTTTGATCACTTTCCTGTTGTTTCCTTCGGTTTGCGTATTTCATTGTAATTGTCATTCTTATTTGCATGGTGATGTGAGATGGAATGACTTGAAATTATGTGATTTTTACCAGGGTTTCAGATTGATTTGTCTGCCCATCTGTCCGAAATTTTTATTCTGACAAGTTATGATTTTAATTGTACGACAGTAGTATAAGTTTAAGTCAACAGTTTTTGAGATGAATAGCATAAAAGCAACTCTTATTAGAGATATAGATTCTTTATATCTTACTGATTATATTCACTTGAAGAAATGTTCTAACATAAGATGCTTGTTTTAGCTATTTAAGCGCAAATGAAATAAAACAAGACATTTAATCAGTTAGTGTCAATCAACTTTTACATATCACCGAAATGTTTCCAAGGTTTCCTCACTGAAAACTAATAGACAAAGTATCGTTTATTATGAAGGACGCCTTGAAGATCGTGACAAGAATGCTGAAGCCTTTCTGAATTTCTGTGGGAAAAAAGCTTTCAAAATCTACTTCTTCCATATCATACAAGTCAATGGGTGCAAAAACAAGAGAAGGCATACCCACCATAGTCTACAAAATCTTGTTTGACTTAAAGGATATTTAATACCTCAAGAAGAGTAGTTTTTATGCTATTCTTCGTCCGCGTAAATGCCAGTTAGCAGTTAAGCCTCAAGAAAAATCTTCGCTTATTTCAATCCATATAGGTATGATTCCGCTTGCAAAATATAGTAATCTTGAATTAAGTCGCGAAAATCCTGGACAAAGTTTTGAAGCTTAACATGAACGTCAGTTAGCAGTCGACAAGTCAAATGACATTCCCTCAATCTTCCAGCTAATAAAAAATTGTGAGATAGCAAAATGGTTAGAGGTCAGATCTTCAGGATAGCTGATCTAAACTAAGGAAATAATCAGTTACATCCTAAATCATCAGGAGAGGCTACTAAACAACTTGCATTTAAGAGGTGCCTAGCTTACCTTTTTCCTGGATAGCATAACATTTAGAAACGCCGAACGTATAATCATCTTAACGGTATAATTTTTGTTGAATGTTTATAGACAAACTTAAGGAGTTCCCGGTCAAATTAGGTTTCTCATTTCTGGTACTCATCGTCAAAGCATACTTATAACCTTTTAGAAACTATTTTCTTGGATATCTGAAACGACCTCAGTCAACTAAAAATTATATGATACACCACTAAACTATTCAAGCTGTGAATGTTTCTCCTTTTTCTCCCCTATGAATTAATATTGTAAATGAATCAATCATCCAATGATAACTCTACCAACTACTTAAATAATGATAGTGGATTTCAGTTTCCATGATACCCTTCTCCAGATCAGAAAGATTGCTATGAGACGACAATCCACATTGATATTGTCCTATGATGGGTATGCACATGTGATTGGCATAAATAGGTGGAATTTCTCATTCATGTGCTTTCATAGATATTCACTCAGTCTGAAGGTGGCAGCATAAAAATACTTGGTGTTCCAATCGACTTTGGAAGTATTTTAAAATCTACAAACTAGAAATTGTGAGGCCTAGCATGCTATCTTATAATCTATCGATTTATTTTTATATCTATACAACTTAATTTATAGGATTTTTGCTGTTTTAACCTTTCGTGAAATCATGATCATGAATATCAACATACGACCAGGCATTATTGTGTAACGGTCCGAGTTGCCACAATTCATACCAGTACATCAAGTAAAAAGGCCTTGGAGTGCAAGACGAAGCAAAGAAAATGCAGTCGAAGAAAATATAAGGTACGAAAAAAGAGAAAGGAAGAATGAGAAAGTGGTGAGATTTGGTATAGCGTCGTTAAGATGAGGATAATATGTGTATACATCTGCGCCACTTATATCGGTTCTGAACTATATCACCTAGAGTCTCCAACCACTGATTTCTCTTGTCCCGTAGACCCCAACCGGTTAGTTTACATCACCCCACATGGCTGAAATCAACAGTCACAGACTTCATACATTGATGCCATGTTTTAGTCTGGCCACCTTGGGCCTTTTTCCAGATTTCGCCTACTTCGGCCAACATTGTGTGACAAGAAAGATGGCGACTGGGCATACGTAGTACGTGTCCCAACCATCTCAGTCGATGAAGGTCGTCAACTGATTTACTTTATCTCCCTGAAACTCTACACCTAATTTGTGAAATAATGATTATTTTGTTCGCTAAACAGTACACTTTACACTTTTGTAGTGTGATTGTTGCTTTGTTATTTTTAGAGTTATATTATTATCCAGTAAATAATTTCACTTTTGTATAAATTTACTCATTTATTGATTAAAAGCGGACTAAGTGATTTTTTTTTAGCTATCGAAACAAATGGAGTGCTTTGAATTAACTAAATTAGTGATTTATTCATTTAAACCTTTAATTACTTCTCAGCTGTGCTGTTTAGGTCATCGGCGAATATGTCTTTAAAGAAATAAAAATATGTTCTGAAATTCCCTGGTCATATTCAATTAAATAATTATGAAATATCTTTCACTAATTTACTCTACAGGGTATTCCACGTCTAACAGATAGATGTGATTGTTATTTTGGTAGACATGGAATAGCAGATCATGAATTCTCTGAACTGAACAGTGTTGCTTCGTTACCAAATGGATTGATTGCAGTAGCGGATGGAAATGGAGAGAAAATAAAAGTAAGTATAAGTGAAAAACTTGGGCACTGTAGTAGAATGTAATTCCATATTAGATTTGTTTATTTGATATATAGCGCACAGTGATACAGTATTATTTAATTGATTACGTTTCGAGCATAAATTATTGCTCATAATCATATCAATGTAATCACACTTCTCTCGATATCTGATTTTATAGTCCTGTCACCTGATCTCTCTTTGTTTTTTTGTTTTTTGATTGGTAGTAAAGTTTTCCATATCTCTGGTATAGGTGTTGCGTCATTCCTATTACATGTGTTGGGTGTGGATTCGATGAACAAAGATTCAGTAATTAATCTCTCTTTCCACCTAGCTATATTAGACTTAAGTACAGTGGTTTTGTCCCACCCTATTGTATGGTTGTGTGTTAATGAATGTAATGCAATGGCTGAGTGTTTTTCTAGGTTATTGATCCTATTGGGGTCTGCCGTTCTATGTTTAGCTAAATTCCTATGTTCTATTAATCTAACTGACCCCGATCGGCTAGTTTGACCTATGTATTTGACTTCACAGTCATTACAAGTATATTTTTTGGATATACACTTGCATAACTTTAATAAGTTAACTGATTTACTATATTCTACATCAGTTAGCTTTTGCATATGACTTCACTCGAAAGATATGATTAAAGAATATTCTGCCAGTGAAAAAAACACAAGTATACATAAAACTTCCCTTATTCTTTGGGATTTATGCATATAATGAATAGCATTCACCCTTTGTTTGCTGTTGAAGCAGAAGGAAATCTAGTTGGCTTTCTAGATGTAAACCTTTTATACTGTGACCTTTACACACAGTCTTACACTGTGAGTGACAGAAATAATCATAGAAGACAAAAAATATGTAAGGAGGTTGGTAATCTATTTTTAATCATTTATGTCTTTCAAGCAAACCTAGCAACTGGTTGCTGATGCTATATCGAGCCTAGTTCATCGATCTCTATTAGAATATGGAATCCTGCTTATAAAGCTCTAAATTGGCTAAAAAATTTTTGTTATAATTTTTTAGCGGTGGTTATCAGTGGAATTCAGAATATTCGTTTCTTTCCATTTTGAACTTACCAGTTGGATGTTCCTGCATCCCACTGACGTTGTTCCCAACCGATTTCACTGCTGCCTCCACCACCTAAATTATATTATGGACCATCTGTGAACAGTATCCGGATATCCATACAAGAGCCTATAGGCTAACAGGGATTAACTAGTTTGGTCCAGTATAACAACTGGAAATCGCACTTACCAATGACTGAAAACTGATATCCATTGCATAAGGTGTAGCTGTGGAAACTCAGTGGTGCATAAGATAACGATGGTAGCTGGGTTTCAGTTTCATTGGTAGCATATTCACTCACTAAGATGCAGATAGGTCTAGCTGATAATTCTCATATAAGAGGGAACGCCTGTCCTTAATTCCACTTTTGGTGGTCACCAAGGCAGTTATAACTTACTAAGCGATTGTTTTTGATGGTGTTATATCCTCTGAGCTATATGGTTCGATCATTAAACGATTTCCTGTTAGAAAGCAGAATGATGGTTCATGTTGTGAGAGGATTCACAAGTAGGCATTTGGGAATGCTATGCTAATTCATGAACTTAATAACTAAGGTTTGAGCTTTGAAGTTAAGTGTACGCTTTTTACGTGGGATGAACTTGATGATACCAACTAACTACTATACACTGTTGCTATTCCTCTCTCATTTTTCTACTACCACCATTTCATTGACCTAATTTTCTCTTGGTTAACTGCAATGAGGTCTAGTTGTATGAAGAAAAGGTTATAAAAGAAATTTTGAACTACTTGGTTTGACTGTTTGCACCTGTTTTTTGAAATTCTATCTTAATGTTTGTTTCCACTTATTTTCATGGTATAATCGTTTGATTTATAAACACATGTGGTTATTAAAACTTCAGTGTGGTTTTTTGACATTATGCTTGAAAATTATAATAGCATTTAAATTCGGAATTGTTTTTCCCTTTAAGTTGTTTTTTAAACTGTTTTCCGTAGCTTTTCGGGTACATAAAGCATGTTCTAAGGAGTGATTGTCCTCGTTGCACCTAACGCAAACTAAGAATCGATCATTTTCGAAAAGGAGATTATTCTTCTTTTTTCTTCGTGTTAAACCGTATTGGACAGTAGAAAAATCTGAGGAAATTATTTCCCTTTATTTAAATTCACAGTGAGTGTGACTGACTCAAATTTGACTGGTCATAATTTCACCCATGTATAGAAAACATTCAACGTAAAAATTCCAAATAAGTCTGGAATCATATCTTACATTCCATTGCTGATTACCACATAATTATCAGTTTGAGTATCTAAGATTTGTCAGACTTGTATTAGTACTGGGTGTTGATTGAATGTGCAATGAGAATTTAAGCCTCAGCAGGATTTGAAGCAACAGCCTCAAGTTCACCCATCTGGTGCTCTATCCACTGAACTACAGTAACCTGGTTGCTACCAAGATTTGAACTTCACCGTTTACAATTACTCACTACTATATAATTCAATCAAACTGAATAGGTGGAAGTATGGCTCATTAACTAAAACATTCGGTTTTCGACTGATGAGCTGCAGGTTACAACTCATGTCCGTCTACTTGCTTTCAAGAAACCAGGTATCATCATTGGTTCAAAGTTAATAAGTCTAGCTTGTAGCCTAGCAGATAAACACGTATACTGTGTTGAATCGCGTTTGTTACATCACAGTGATAGCCATGCAAAAAAATAGGTGTCAGTGAGATTTACGTATAAACCTATAAATGCTGACAAATTCAATTCACAAAAATCAACACTATAATTGTATCACCTACATTTTCTGATAGGTTAGTAAGACAATGACACTCACAAGAAACGACTCATTTTTCTAAGTGAACTAAAGGTGATTAAATATTTCTTGATTAAAATCCGACAAGATATTTCGAAGTTTGATTTGTGACATTTGCCACCACACTGTGGCTAATTACTTTTGTAGGAAGAACAAGTACTTCAGCGAAGAGTCTCTTTTTGGCGATTTCATTTTCAAAGCCGTACAGTCGCGAATTTACACATTTTTCTAGCGTAAGGATTTAAAAGTTACAGACGGCTTGCCAAGCATGGTAATGCAAATAGTGTCAATAAGTGAGTCGTCATTAAAATTAAAAAAAACTAAAATCTGATGAGTAGTGAATATTAGTTAAAATAAGATTAAACAAGTTTGGAAACTGAATTGTGACCAGGCAGAGCATAGCAACCAGAATGAATAGCAAATTACTTAAGAAGTGAATAGTGTCGAAACAAAAGATGAGAAGAAAAAAGAGGGGAGTAGAGTAGACTGAAAACTAAGACCATGAAAGAAGAAGGGGTTGAGCAATCTTCTTTTGTGTACACATCATCATCATCATCACAGTTCAGGCTTCTCAATTTGGATGGTAAGAGCTTCGGCGATGCAGAGAATACGAAGACACACAGCCTTTGGGATGTTTCTTTTCACTATACAGACGACTTTAAACGAGGAGGTTTTGATATAATGTGATTTTTATTCACGATGTGTTTACTTATAGCACTCCTTATCGCTCCACTGTTACTTCTGTGTAACCCTGCGGGATAGTGTTCTTGGACCCTTTTGGACAACAGTCACGTCGAATGACCTATATACCTGGCTCCACTTTTGTTTCTGTGACATGAAAATAACCGTATGATGGCAGTTATTTATCATTATCAAACTGAAGCTGCCAAAGACCTTAGATTATGTTTCAGTAAAAGTTTGACTGTCAGGTGACAGGTGTGAGCTAATGCAACAAGACTAATTTTGTAGAAAATCGAAAAACCAGTAGTGATGGTAATCCACCACTAGGTTTTAAATTAAAAGTATCGATGACCAACCTAACTTTGCAGCAATTAGCTAACTGAAGATATCAATTCACTGGTTTCGTTTAAAGATAGGAAGTCAGTAATTAAAATAAAAACTTGTCTGAATCTGTTGGAACTTCTTTTCTTAGGTTGTTGTTGTAACGTCCACTTAACTTGATGTAATTTGTCACTTGACAACATTATAAAAAGCTTCGGTAATGTAGGTTGTCTTTTTTAACAGCATTTCTCTAGTTTTATCATAAATTCACCTCCTACATTCCATTTTGCTAATTATGGCTAATAAGGTGTTCCTATTCTTCTAATTTACACTGGTTACACACGAAAAAACATTAAGATGTATAATTTTCTCAGTAATCTGTGTTATAAAATGTTTCCAGTCAGGATGCGAAAGACAGTTCTGAAATTGTTACCGGAGGAAATCGATGGAAAGCTATAAAGTAAGGAATTGCGCTTCCCACTAAATACTACTGAAGTAAACACTAGTTGCTAACTAGTGCGTAACCGATGTAGCTGCGAAGTCTTTAGTGCTTAGTACCAGTCGAAGTTTTGCCATGTGGACATTCAGGGAGTCGAGGTGACACTGCAATGCTCTTCGGTCAATGCTAATCACTAAGTAATAGATAGCTTTATCAGTTACCCACTAGTGATCAGTTCGCGTACATAATATAGTTCCACGAGAAGTCAGTTGTGACGTGGATAACCTAGTGGCTAAATCTTTGACTTAAACAATGAGCAATACAAGTTAAAATTGCTGAGGGAATACCAGCTTCCTCAGGGTTAAAGAAACACCTTGTTGATGTATGCCAACCAGCATGGAACCTAGGTTCAGAGCTTCCTGCTGATGCATTACGAGTTCAAACTATTTAAATTAGGGAGCACATTTCAATGCTTATCTTTCAAAATTAAGCAACAAGAATAGCTCGACTGCATAAAATTTTAAAGCCAAAATTCACGCTAACCTGCCATTTAATAACAGGGAATTAGGTGCATGAATGCACTAGTCTCCTAACCCATCGATTCACTGAGCTATGGGAGCAGTTAAAAATGCATTCAAAATTTGAAATGACAGACAGAATAAATGTAGAACCTCCTATTAGGGTGCAGCGATTCAAGTTCTTATACTGTACAGCAGCA